CAAAACAAAAATAAATAATTTTATAAAATAAAATTAAAATAAAATGTTTCAGCTGATGTTTTAAATACCCATTGTTAGGGTATTGAAAAATAAAAAGCCAAATTGTATGGGGATTTTTCTTACATTTAGTTCCGGAGAAAAAACGGGGCAGGCGCCGCCACAGCGTCCAGACAATGTATCGCCGCCACCGCAAGCATCGCCTCCTTTATTTTTACCGCACAGAGTACGGCGGACTGCTCTTAACACTTTGCATACATTTAAAGCGTATTTTTTATACGGCTCGGCTCGGCAGCGACAGACGGAGGCAGCAGCGCAGCTGAGACATGTAAACAAACTCATTTAACTGATTTTCATGAAAGAAAATGTGGCTCTTGGGCAACGGCTGATGGCCACGGCCGGAGTACGGCAAATTATCATCATGTCGACTGCGTTTTCCGTTTCCTCATTTTTTCTCCTTTTTTTTTTTTTTTGGTTTAAGCTTTTTGCTAGCAACTCTTTTGGCTCACATCCTGGGGCAAGATTTACATGTCGCTCGACAAACTTTGAGCCTGAACTGACCTCAGCAAGTTGGCGGCCCTTCTCGGCTGTTGGCTTTAGACTGTCTCAAGTTGTGCACACAATCTTTGCATAATTTCTCGCACACTCTCGCTCAGCAAGTGCTAAGCGCTGAAACGGCAAATGTCAGCAGAAAAAAAATAAAAAAAAAAATAAGAAAAATAAAAGCCAGCAACAACTTTTTCTGAAGAAATAAAGCCGAAAAACGACGATGACAGCGAGCGGAGTTCGCTTACAAATTGCCTCTGGCTCGATGATGACTATCTGAAATTAGTGCCAGGCACAAGCAGGCTCTAGCAGCCACTGAATTAGCACACTTATTAGACTAACTTAATCGACTATAAAAACGGCGGACTTATGCACATAATCTCTAGCTGCCCAACAGCCCGTGCATATCAAATGGAAAAGTTATGCTAAGCCCATTTCTGTATCAGCATGAATGACAAAAAGTTCTGCATCTACTTCTTCCGATGTAATTACTAAGAATAAATTGTATTTATATTAACTGTGAAAAATATAAAAATTAGTAATAATGGAAATATCATATTTATATTAAATAATTTCCATATGACCGAGAGCAGAATTGAATAGAGACATTTCGAACAGTTTACATAGAGAGAAGGAAACAGTTTAGGCAGAATGAAGGCATTAATTAATTTATATACTTTATTAAGTGCTCTGCAACATTTAGTGGAGATTTCGTCTAAAAAACCCAAGCTCTTCGCACTCTTCAAAAAGCAGACTTTTGTGGAGAAATGCCCTTATATGAACTATTTGCTATCATCAACAGCATTTCGAGGAATACTTAAGGCAGCTTTAAAGCAAGTCTTTTGCATGTAATGCACTTTAAAGTTTCAGCTTCATGAGTTAAACTTCAAAAAAAATTCCTCTCAATTGCGGGTCGCATTATTATCAATAAACATGCTCAGTTTAGTATGCACAGAAGCAAATCTCAGCCAATCAGAATACCAAACTGAGTACAGCCTTTTGCCTAATCTCTCAAAGAGTTTATGCGATTCAGTATTTATGTGACTATTTTAGTCTAAAATTGGCAATGTATTATTACTATTTAATTTATATTTACTAGCTCACCATCAGCCATCAGTTAATAAATAAATAAATAAAATAAATATTTACTAACTTATTCTACAGCAATATTAGCTAGTAGTTGACAACACGCGGGGCATCTTTACATATTTATCTCAATTTCTGAAAACATCTACTTTCGAATATTGCTTAAATTTAATTGTCTATTGATGAATTTCTCAAGAGAATCTCAACAGTTAAATTTTGGTAAAATGAACACACATCAAACTGAAATGCTAAATATAGCTAGTGAAGAGTCCTGCGTGTCTGTATTTCACGCTGTCAGCTTGTCAAGTCATGTAAGTAAGTAAATATTAAATACGATATCGAGTGCATTTCACATTGACTTAATGCTGTGGAAATCGAGTACCGATTTCTGCTCCCCTCCGCCTGGCCCGATCCAGTTCCAGTTCGCTGCCATGCCGTATCAATGCTTTCGTATCAGACTTCAAGGTTGTCAGAAGTTTACTTTGAAATTGGAACAACAGAAGCTCAAACTTTGTTCAGATTTAGTGGGACAGGTGGACTGGGAGGGTGGTAGGCGGGGCGGCGAAGTGGCGTACGAATGCGCGAAATTCAAAGGATAATTGAGACATGTAAACAATATCCTTAAGTGCACAGGCAGAGGGAATGGCGCACATCAAAGGTCGCCAGCTGGAAAGCAATTAACACGACTCGCAATAAGCAGGCAGCTAGCATGTAGGCGCAACATGAAAATATGAAAAATGCCCACTCATAAAAGGATTGCAGCAACAGCAGCAGTGGCAGCAGGGTGGTGCAGGTGTGGAGCTAACGTCGTGGTGGTGGTGGTGGCTCAGAAGTGCCTGGCACACACGCACGACAAAGCAGAATAATAAATTTCAATTCAGACGACGAGAGCAGCGCTGAACGTCTCTGCCGCACGTTGACGTTGACTTCCACGTTGATAAGAAGCTGCCACAGCACTCATGCAGCCGTGCAGCCGTGCAGCTGCTCAGCCGGGCCGCCATGCATGCAGATGCTGGCCCACACGCTCTGCCACACGGCTGGCCTAAAGTGTGTGACGCAGAGGGCAACATAAAAAATGCGAATGCACACAAAAAGCCAGTGGGGAAAAAGCCTTACATAGGCCAGCAGGAGGGGGCTGCGCCGCCCTCACACTGGCTGCAAAAAGGAAATGCGCAACGCAGCCCAAAGGTGTCAAGCGGAAAATAAAGCATAATAGTCGTCCCTGTTATGCACTTTAGCTGGAGCGAGCCCACAGCCTCAGCAGCTGTAATGGCAAAACAGAAGCCTAGACAGCCGTCAGTCATTCAGTCAGTCGTTCATTCAGTCAGCTGCGACCTTTGGCTGTGCGTTGACTTACAGATGATGTGTTTCTCAGCCGAAGATGCTGAGGCCTATGCAAAACTCTTGCATGTGCATATGTAAGCATTCGCATGCAACTGCTCCTCCTCCTCCTCCTCCTCCTCCTCCTCCTCCTGCTGCGAGTAAGGGCAAACACAGCGCTGTTTGCAGAATAAAAACAAAAACCAACAGAAATTAAAATATCAAACGAAAAGTTGAAAATTAAAGCGAAAAGCCAAGCGAAGCTGGCTAATAAATTATGGAACTGTAGGCGTGCCGTCATCAAAGAACATTTTAAATTAGCCAAAGCCCAGACTCAAATACATGCTTAAGTCTTACATAATTGCCTTTGTACATACGCATGCAGTGCATGCATGTGAAAGTAGAGCACGAGCTTATAATTAATGGCTATCGATTTATGTACAATTTCTCCTCTAAATGAAATAACAAATTCTGTTACGAAACTGTTTACTTTTATTTTATTTGATTTTATGCAACAAATATTTGTTCGAGTCTGCTGAGTAGCTCAAATGATGCATGCAAGGCTTTATGGATCCCATTGCCATTATGGCCATGGATTTAAGTATTTGCAATGGGAAAGATTTTGTTGATTTTTGTAAATGCATAAATTGGTGTTCACATATATAAAGAACTCGGTTGACAATGCTTTCTGTGGTCTATTGATATATCCACTGATAAGCTGATAAGTACTTGCTGAAATATGGCGAAATATTAAATTTAAGTTTTAAATAGTATATCAAGATATATATATATACATGTAGCATATTTTATTATGATATTACCATTTATATGTAGCAAATATTTATGTTCAACTGTGATTGTCAAATTAAGCAATATTTT